TATTTACTAAGTAATACTAAGTATTTTTATTGATGGTAAATGCATTCAAAATCTAATATCTTTATTAATGGGTGGTTGCACCACATGAAAAGCTATGAAAACAATAATCAACACACCTCAGCTGCCTTCACGTTTCTTTCTCATGTGCATCTAAATTGGCTACAATAGATATTTCTGAGAAGAAAAAAAGGTGTTTTCAAAAGGTTACAGAGAAAATGGGACTCCTAGCAACTGTGCAAGGCTTTGTAGACCAACAAAACTGCTATCATCAGATAAACAGTACTTGAATCAAGCTATACTCTTGCTTCAGATCTGAGAAAATCCACAGGTGTTTCTGTCTATCCTTCCACTGTGAGAAGACAACTCAACACTATGAATCTGTAAAGATGTGCAGCTGTCAAGAAGCCGTTACTGAAAAAAAAGAAGACAATTTGCACTAGAAACCGAAACTTGACATCTGAGATGTGGAGTGATATTTTATGGGCCAAGAGTTGAAATGTGTACTTGGGATTGTTTGGATTGTTAGAAGCAGAAAATACAACCAACACTTTGGTGGTGTGGAAAAATATCTCTGCAGATTTTTTTGAGAAAGCAAGTCTCCCAAAAAGAATGTACACTGTGATAAAGAGCAGGCACGCCACTGAAAAATGTGACATAATATTTTGTTGTTGAGACTTTTGTGGAATTATCTATTAAATATATGTTTATTGTTTTTTTCTTGATGCTGAAAAATCAATAATGAATGGAATACTGAATACTGAATGAATGGTTCCTGACCTTTGCACAGTACTCTATCCACTGTGGACCACTGTGTTGCTAATTTTTGAAGGTATGCCAAGACCATGCATTCGCTGGCTAAATATAATTGAGTGAGTTAAGAAGGGAGGTTCATGAGGTGCTTTCTATCTAAGAAGAGTGGAGGTGTTGCCAGGCTCGTTGCTACAGCACAGGGCTACTAAACCTTTGCGTCACTCAGTGAGTGTGGTCCCCAAGAGACCACAGTAGTCAGATAAAACAGCAAACATCTTATCAGTGTCTTATTTTAAGAATAGTTGACTTCCAAACCCTATAACAACATCTAACATTACTGAGAAAAGATCAGGCTTGTCTGAAATTGAATTGTTTTTTCATAGTTGGTACAATAGAAATACGCTGTATGGTAAAAGGTATGTGGACATATGACCATCGCACCTATGTTGTTGGATGTTCCATTCCAAAACCATGGGCATTAAAATGAAGTTACGCGAATCTGTGCCCATTCAGTCAAAAGAGCACTGGTGAGATCAGACACTGATTATGGTCAAGAAGCCCTGGCCCATAATCGACATTCCATTTAATCCCAAAGGTGTTCAGTGGGGTTGAGGTCAGGGCTCTGCACAGACCACTGGAGTTCCTCCACACCAAACTCCATATCTGGACCTCGCTTTGTGCACAGTGGCATAGTCATGCTGAAACAGGAAGGGGCCTTTCCCAAACTGCTGCCACAAATTTGGAAGCATAAAATTGTCTAAAATATATTCGTATGCTGTAGCATTAACATTATCTTTCACTGGAACTAAGGAACCTTAACTCTAAAAGAACAGCCCCTGAAAACACAAACCATTATCCCTCCTCCACCAAATTTGCCACTCTGCATTCTCCTGGCACCCACCAAACCAAGATTCATCCATCAGACTGTCAGATAGTGAACTGTGATTCATCACTTCAGAGAACACAGTTCCACTGGTCTAGAGTCTAGTGGCAGTGTGCTTTACGCCATTCCAGCCAACGCTTCGCATTGCGTATAGTGATCTTAGGTTTGTGTGTAGCTGCTTGGCCATGGAAGCTCTTTTCATAAAGCTCCTGGCTCACAGTTCTTGTGCTGAAGTTCCTTCCAGAGGCAGTTTAGAACTCTGTAGTGCAACATTAGATATGCGATTTTTGCGTGTTATGCACTTCAACACTCGGTGGCCCTGGTCTACTGCTTTATGGCTGAGCTGTTGTTGCTCCTAGGTGCTTCCATTTGACAATAACAGCACTTCAGTTGACCAGGGCAGATCTAGCAGACCAGAAATTTCACAAACTGATTTGCAGCAAAGGTGGCATCCTATGACAGTGCCACGTTCTGAGCTCTTCAGTACGACCCATTCTACTGCCAGCGGAGGTTGCATGGTTTGGGCTTGATTTTATACATTGTTAGTAATGAGTGTGGCATTATTAAAATATCTATTTGTAACAGGATGTAATCTTATTTTTTGTCCTCTGAAGTCAAGTCCTCCCCAAGCAGCAAGTGTTGTGAAGAGCACAAATCAGCAATTCAGTATTTTCTTTTTATATCTGGCCTCAAATTGAAATAACACCACCTGGATCCACAGAGCCACCGATGTGTAATCAGAGTTCCCAGTAGAGGGACATTAGCCACTTTTTTGCAGAAAAGCATAGCCACTCAAAGGCAGGGATAAAAACAGTTTTGGGAATGGCTTTCAACTGCATACTCAAAACAAAATCAGACCTGATAGAGCAGGCTTTTACCATGGCCTGCTGGGAAGTACTATCTTGTTTGGATATCAGCCATCTAAAACACAAGCACTGAATCTGAATCAATACCACAGACAGTGCAGACTCAAATGCATCATTTAAAGGGAAATTGCACCATTTTTATTCAACCTTTCTGCATAACTAAATGGTTAAATCATTCAGAGTGGTTTGACGTGAAATTCTCTGTTCTACAGACACTTACCAAGTCTGAATTTTTCTCAGTGGTGGTGAAGGGAACCAGATGTCTGAAGAATTTAATATGCTGCTTATGATGCTGGAGACACTGTTTTATGGTAGTTCTAGAATACGGTTTTGGCATCTAAAACATTTTTTAAATATATTCATGGTTTAGAAGTACATGTATTACCATTTTCAGCATTATATATAAAACTCTGAGACACCTGTAGGTTCACTGATTGTTTTGTATAGTAAATGAAATGTGCATTGGAGACATCATGACCACTCGTTCCTATCACCACCACTGTAAAGAAATCTGAGTCTGTACATTTATCTACAGTAAACCTTCACCTCAAAATTTCACCTCAGACCAGTCTCAATGAGTTTGTTTACATCTTAATGACTAAATTATGCAGTGATTTTGAAAAATCATTTCAATATTATTGTTAAGAGAATGACTAGGATCCGCCTTGCCGTCTAAAGGCTTGGGCAGCTCGAATAACAAGGCTTGTTTGAAGATGTGTGGTCCTAAAAGTTGGGCAGGATGTTCTGCTGACATATTGTCGGATGCCTAGGTTTCAGCAGACCGGTCAAATCACATGTTTTTGTCACAACCAGGTATTACTATACTGAGTGTATTTAATTCCAGTGAAATTTTCCTGCATCCACATGTGCTTATGGAAGGTAAAGTTCCCAAGATTCACAGATGTAGAAAGTCAGATCCACACCTGAACTGATTCACTTTCCATGAATGACCTTCATTTATTCAATAGAGATAAGACAGTGCAAAATTTTGACTAGAGCGTTAATGACCCAAAAATGAAAAGTCTCCAAAATATTTTGAACCACTTCCGTAAATTAGTGCACTGCACTGTCTTGTTTCATCGGAAGAATAGAGCTTCTTTATCTGAAATGCTCTCTGTCAGACAGTTTACTAACAACAATATAATAGCAGGAATTTTAATCAGCAGCTTGTCTGCCAGCGTGTCATGTCTAATCAGAAAGAGACAGCAAAAAAAGCAGTGTTTTTATTAAAGATTTACAATATGGAGTGTGGGAGAGGTCACCAGATTGAACTGGTCAGATTCAGGTGCTGCATTTGCCAAGTCATTCTGATTTCCCATATTTGACAGAAAATAGCCTTTAAATTAAGTTTTTTGGGGGAAATTTTTTTCACTTATATTGACTTTTTCAGGGAACAAAGGCACCTTTGAGAATGTTTAGTTAATTTAATTAGGATTTGCAGGGACAATGTGCATTAATAAATATTGCCATAAATGTGCCAGTTTAGCCAATTTGGCTAATTTTCAAATATAGTTCACAGCTCATTCGAAGCGTGAGCTGCACTTACTGAAAAAAAGGTGAGTGTTCAAAGGACGTCTTCCACGCAGGTATCACAATGTCTCCTCTGGATCAACGCCAATGCCACGTGATCACCTTTTTGTAGTAGTGTCAAATATTAGGGAAGTAAACAATGGCAGAATGATTGTTTAGGAGACAGCAGGAGATTTTCTATACCAGTAAATGGGGTCAGCAGAGAAGAAAGCTTTCTAAACACAATGTCAACACGGGATGAAACTTCCTGTTAGGCTACACAGCATACTGCACTTCAACAAATGCTTAACAGCAAGCATTTACTGCTGCGACGACCTTAAACATCATCTGCGCAGCTGAAACATTTCCCAAAATAAACTGTCCACTGCCTGATTATTTTTCTGTGCTCAGTGGCCTGTAATGAGAAACAGAGGCTGTTGGAGAGTTGATTTTTTTTTCCCTCTCATTTTGCCCATTTCCAGACAGAAAGGCCTCCCTCTTCCCATCCCCCTCCTTCCCTGATTCGAATGAGTGTACCCGCTCAAAGCTGTGCACTGAGCCAGTCCTATTGGATATCCCAAAAACTATGTAAACACAACCAACTCAGCCCTGCGGTGTGTGTTAATTAGGCTGCAGTCTAGGCTGGAGCCAATAAAACTACTTATGGCTTACGCTGTGTCAATATTGGCATTGCCAAAAGTTTGCCGAATTGCCAAAAAAAGACGAAACACTTTGAAGCGCAAGGTTTCAGGGGCTGTGATGATATGTTAGACATGTACATAGATATTTACCGGTCTTAGGCCTAAACGCACAATGGCTCTAAAGAACATGCTGATTTAGCCAGTCGGTACAGCCACCAAAATGCAAAGTGATATTGCATAAAGCTAAACATTTTCAAATTCTCCTGATTATAATGCACACTGCAACTGCCTGACCATCTCAGGTTATTTCAGTGCATGTTTGCATGCAGTAAATGAGACAGGAGCCTTTTACAGTAGAAACATTAGGTTTTATTTCTAAAAGGAACACAGAACACCGTAAATGCTCTCAGATAGACAACCTTCTGTGCTGTAAAAAACATATTAGGCCTACACCATAGTTTGCACAGCCTTTTTATACATTCAACATACCTGTTCCATCTCTGAAATAAACAGCAGCTAGCGGTAGGCCCCCCCCCCAAAAAATCCATTCACATCCAAGTTTATTGACCAGACCATTTTTCTCCATTGGAAGACAGAGAAGAAACAAGCATGAGAAAGGCAAGAAGTCCTCATTCAATATCCTGCTCTACAGACTTCCGTCTGCCCAGCTAAACTTACCATCACTTCCACTAAATAACATTCACTTTCCCTCATTATTCATCCCAAGTGCCAGGAGAGTTCACATACCATGGGCCTATGAAACAATGCAGCGAAACAGAAACTAAACCACAGCAGCAACATGGAGGCAGAAAAACAGCAAAAAATGAACAGTGAACGTACAATGTAGCTTTATATATATAAAAAACTGAACAGATGTAGGAAAATGTGCATGAAAAAAAGGAAAGTGACATTTAATGGCCAACAGTATCTTACTGATTTTGATAATGCATTAGTTTCAGATTATTGCTTCTCCTGGAAAGTGGCTAATAAAATGGTACCACAAAAAATACATAAACTTCAATATGAAGCAACTTCATGTTGTACCACATTATTCCACTTTCACATTCTTCAGTTTAAAGGCATCTTGCACAGTGCAAATCCCCCTCCATAAGAACAATCACATTCCAAAAGCAGGAGATAATTCCCCCTTAGTTAAATGCAGTGCTTCAGAGTAGCCATAGGACAAGACTGATTATTTCTGTCAATGTTCTACACTGATCTTCAAGTTCACAAAATAAGCATTTAAAACAGAAAAAAAAACTGGAAGGAAACAATTGCACAATAGTCTCTTTTGAAGACGAGAAATTTGCCCTTGTAAAAGATGGTGCTTATTAAATAGCTAATGCCATTTTTTCCACAAACAATCAGACTAACAATCAGAATCACGAAGGAAGGCAATCTATGTTATAACAATGATCAGTTTAGAACATTTCAAATCTAAGTGCTTTAGTGCACAGCAGAATTAGGAAAAAATAAACCATTAAGCATTATCTCAAGTTGAGCACCTTGCCGGTGTAGGGTGTTAAAACAGTTAATCTCTGGACTCAAACCGACTAAAAATATATATAGTTTCTAACTTTAACTATGTACTAATCATAAAATTTCAGATTTTCATTGTTGAATCAGGAAAACACCGTCAATAAGGGCACATATTTTGATGGGCTCAGTGTTCAATTTAACAATAGGTGATTTTTAATATTTCAAATTGAAACTATTTTTTATATTTATTTACCAGGTCAGTCTTGCTATACATCTGACAACTCTGAGATCTAGCCGGGAACTCATTTTCAGTATTTCCTCTTAACACAGATGTTACCCATAGAACTTCCTGTGGCTTTGTTAGCAGGTATGGCCTCACCAGTAGGGGGTGTTGTTCTCAATGTGACCCCAGCTTTGCCACTCTGGAAAAAAGCCACTGGATGTCCTTGGGCTCCCAAACTGATCAAACTCCATCTCTGGCCTTTTGCCAGGGCTCTTGATTTCAGATGCTGTCTGAGTGGCATGGCTGGGGTGGTCCCCGTCATCATCCTCATGTATTAACCTGTAGTTTTTCCCATCGTTATTATCCCAGTGTGTCTGGTCATGTGTTTTGTAGGATATGCAGAACTCCACACGATCTTCAGGGGGCACCGAACTCGGCAGGTCAAGAGCAAAGGAGAAGGTGTCAATTTCTGCACAACCATAAACATTGTTCATGTAGGCACAAGGAACATCCGTGTAGCTTTTCCAGGAGTCAAACGTTATCCGGACCTGAACGGATTTCTCGAAACTTATGTTGCTCACTTTCACCGTGCCCATGAGAGATTTATCTTGGATTACACAGTTCTCCAAACATACCAAGTGTTTCTTGAGACGGTTCCGGAAGTCCAGGTAGTCTGCAGCGGGCTGAGGGAAGTCCAAAACCAAACTCTTCTCCTTCTCCACCTTCAAGCCCACCATGGCGTTCTCCAAGTCCGATAACTCAAACTGCAATTCGGACAATGGGTCCTCTTCGAACTCCTTGAACACATGGATTGCTGTGAGCGACAAGCCCTTGGAGTCTGCAAAGACCACCCTCTTCTTGGGTTTGCCCTTAGGACTCTTCCACCCCCGGTTGGTGGCCTCCACCTTGGCCTTGGAGCTGATGCAGGGTCTCAGTGGCTTGTACTGGTTGATCAGGTTTCTGGACTTGTAGTCCTCATATGAACTTAGGAAGCTGCGGAGGGGTGGAGAGTGCGCCAGGCAGATCCTCATGGCCACATCCACAGGCATGATCGGAGATGGCATCGGCCTGGGGTTCAAGATGTGCAAAACTCTGTTATGGGGGGAATAAAAAGAATCAGGCATTACTGACAAAGTCTGCACAGATATAAGACTGCAATGTTTCATGTACTTGTTTTACATGTTTTCTCAAGCCATTTACGTACATTAGATTCAGAGAAGGTTCATGACTTTTTTTAAAGAAAAACATGACATGCATATTTGGCTGTATTAAAGAAGATGAAAGTATGTGAATGAAGTGGCAGCTAATTCGGTGCGGGGAGGGTAGGCTAAGACCCTGAACAGACTGAATTTGACAAATGACAAAGAAAAACACAGTCAAAGATGAGCATAACAGCAGCTGCTAAATGTAAAACTTTCCAACACAATCACAGTACCGGACAGAAAAATCCAAGCGGAGTCAAACAACCCATCTAAAGCAGACGCCAAGAGAAAGACTCGCTGTTTTTGACTCGGGCACATCTACTCCTTTACTTTCTCCAGTTCAGTGACGCACTAACTCTTACCTGGTGCAGTTCATTCGGAAACGCGGTGAGCGCCGTTAGCGACAAACCGAACACAGGAAAACACAGTCTGTTTAAGGAAGAGAATTCAGTTTCACACAAATTAAAAAAACACTTTTCTCATTTCTTCTAGTGTTTTTAGCCACGCCAGACCGATGAAGGAGCCCGTCTCTGTCGGCACGCCCTCCCGCAGTCCTGCTGCATTGGGAAAAACAGAGCGCATTTCAACTGCTGCTCCACTTCTTTTGGGCCGCTCCGCTCTGAGCGAGCCCGCGCCACCGCCAATCAGAGAACAGACACAGGACCCAGCGACCAATCAGCGGCAAGAATAGGATCATTCGTCGTGCGCGTGCGAGGGCTGAAAGCCAGGATGGGCGGAGCGAAAGGCCCGAGCCTCCATTACTGCAGAGACGTTACTGAAGAGTGCAGAAAGTAGAGCGACAGAGGAAGTTTATAGATAAGCGCTGTTGTGGAAGCTCTTTCTCTCCAGATAGAGGAGAAAAGCAGCTGTTTCATCCTTCTCCATTGCAGTTTTATCCTTCTCCATTTCAGGCAGAAGTATGTCAAAATTTTATCGTGGTATCTCGAAATAATGGCTCATTTTCTAAAAATATTTACTTAGTTATCTCGAAATACTGACTCATTTTCTAGAAAGGTTGACTTAGTATCTTGAAGTAGTGATTCATTTTTCCTGAAATATCGACTCATAGTATCTTGAAATAATAACTTCTCAAAATGTTGACTTAGACTCTCAAAATAATGACAATTTATCTATAGTTGAGTTATGAAGACAAAATTCTAACATACTATGAATTTAAAGAATATTATTTAGGAGTAATAAGTCATTACTTTAACATAAGGTCAATATTTAGAGAAAAGTCGCTATTCTGACATAATATGTAGAAGTGAGAAAATAAGTCATTATTTTGAAATCAAAACACTGACATGCTACCTGAAACAGAAAAAGGGAAAATAGTGATTTTTTTCTCTTCTAGCAGGAATAAGCTTCCATATTTCCTGATGAAAGGGTCTTTAATTAAGATGTTAATTGTTACCAGCCTTTCTTCCTTGCTGTTTTTAAATCCAGAATGTGTTTTAGTAACAGTGTGGCATTTACATTGGAGATGAAGTTTGAAGCTGTAAAAATGGAGATGAAATTTGCTGTAACTAAAGGTCATTAAGCCTTAGTGCGGTCTAATCTATTCTTAAGTAAGTCAAGGTAGCTAGACGTATGTTATAATCTTATAATCTTTAAAGATTATACCATAAATCCAGTCACCTTGACTTAATGCTATAAGACATTTCATTGACCTGGTTAACTGAACACATTCACAGACACTCCCAGATGCTGTGATTTAATCCCTGCCAGAGGCCATTTAGTCCCCCACTTAAAACAGGCCTGGTAATTTTTCATTTAAGAGAAAAGGGAATGCAAAACATTGTATATGCGGCTGTATGAAGGTTTGCATGATTTCAGACAGTCACACTACCTTTATGCAGTAGATGGTAAATATAGTAGCTGCAGTAGCAGCAGGCCAGCGTTTTCTAATTATGGATGTGATGTCCCCCAGTACACCACATTTCTGTGGTTTCTCAGCTCCGACACACACTTTTTAACCCAAAGAAGGCTTGTTAATCAGTATGAGTTGCATCAGGTGTGCTGGAGAAGGAAGAAAGCTAAAATATGCAGTGCAGAAAGACTCCCAAGACCAGTAATGGAAAACATCACAGTAGCATATTGTGAAAACAATATCAGGCATGAAATTACAACGTCCTGCATGTGTTATAGATGCTGCGGTGCATTAAGTAATGCTATTAATAAATTCTCATTTTATAAATTACTTTTTCTCATGTGAGTCAGCTGGATTATAAAGGGAAACAACTCCATGTCGTGAGAAGGAATCGACTGAGTAACTGAGGACAACATTTTTTCAGTTATGGTTTCTATGCTCTTCCTTGCCAGTCAGTTAACAATATTCATGCTAAATTTAATGAGGAATAAAATGCTGCTGGATACATCACATCACATAATGCTTTAAAGGGCCCAAATCATGGAATACCCAATTTTCCCCACTGAAATAACATTATTATAGTTTCAAAACATGCTGTTCACTCCCCAGTTCATACAATCCATATAGGGAAACTAAGCTACAAAATCAGCTTTGAATTCAGTGTTTTTGAGATGGCATGAAAACCAACATATTTACATATATGGACCTTATCAGCCTACAGCAGTTTAGCTCTGCCCATTCACACTGAAGTAGTGTTTCAGCCTGGACTGCTTTTTGAATGAGACACAGAGCTCATTTACACTGAAGGGACAGTTTCAAAAACAGCCTGTTTAGATAAAAAGAGGATGAAAAATGGTCATGTGAAAATGCATTATGACTGTTTAGGGTACATAAAACCTTCACATATGGGTCTGTTAAAAAATGCGTAATTGCTTTGAAATTAAGATGATAAACTTTTGTATATGAATAAATTTTAAGGTTTTCCATGCTTGTCATTTGTTTTCACATCATGGTCATTAACTACATTTGGATGACCCTGACAGTAAAGTGTTAACATAACATACTCCGACACCGCATGCCTCGGGAGTCAGACATGGTTCGGAAAATGTGTTCTGGTCTGCGCTTAAAGATATGGTCTGTTTATCTCCAGGCCTCTAAAAGGGAAGACACTTTGACAAGCAGAAGTCGTTTGTGAAGTGGTGCAATAAATGCCTTTCATTAACTCTCATGTTTCTCACTTTGGCTTATGCTGGTGCCACTTTCCCCAAACAAAGCCAAAACCAGAGTAAAAGAGTAGCTCTGTGAAAAGGCCTTCTTTCAGCAAAGCAAGACCTTTACAGGCTGGAAGTACTGAGATACATGTGTTCACTCACAGCATCCAAGATTTTTTTAGTAGTCTTATTTATCAGTGCTTTTATTTCTTGAAAACAGTTTGAATAAAATGCTTTTCTAATCACCTAATTATCTCCTAGCTATGTCTAGTTATATTTCATTGGGGGCTATAGAACTTATTTGCTTATATATTTGCATTGCTTATGCTTTACATTAGGCACTGGAAGTTGTCTCCTGGACTGAAGTTAGAATTTTATATACTGATCAGGGCTGTATGTAAACCTTTTGAGCAGGTAGCGGCAGCACTATCAAAGTTGCATGTGTTGTATATACATGTTTTACGCAGATGAAAACTACAAAAACATTTCTAAAAGGTATAAATATCAATAACTGGGACACATTGTCGAAAAAGAAGCTACACGTAAACGGTTTGTATCTTAATGTTCATTTTGTGAAATGTTCAAGTCATTTATTTTCTCCACAATAATTCTGATTCCCCAAAAGGGGGCGCTATTAGCTTGTGCATTAATACAGTATATTTGGAGTCTTAAATTTCAAAGTTTTCATATTTCAAACTGTTATGTGGTTTATGTGAGAGGTAAACATAACACTAAGGATGTGAATGGGAGTTGTAATTTATTAGCTAGCTGGCATCTGTCATTTTTGCCAATTTAACTGGTGTTTCTTTACTCAATTGAAGCTAAAACATGGGTTTACTTTACCATTACTGTTCAGGTTCTACAGTTTATCTGCTAAAGTTTATCTGCAGTTTAAAGTTTATCTCTTGGCTGACTGTTCACTACTATCCTCCGCTGTGATGAAAATAACACTAGGCCTCATTCACAAACTGTTTTTAAGAAGTAAAAAAAGTTTGTTTCAAAACACACTTATACATTTTTACAAATATTCTGACATTCACCAGTGTTTTCTTATTTGGGATTTGTTCTTAGGTAAGAACAGAATCTTTAAGAATGCATCATGAATCTGTTTCTCAAGAAAAAATGAAAGAAAAAAACTTAAGAAGATATTGGTGAACGAGGACCAATGACATCACAACTCAGCAAATTTGTGCTGCATCACTTTCGATGTCCCGACTTCACCATCCAACTTTAAAGGGTGTTCATGTGATGGTTTCCTGTGGGATATTCATTTTTCCACTTAAAAGCAGCATAAGCTTCTGAATCCTAGGACGTTTTTGGGCATTTTGCTAGATTTTTTTTAACAGGTTGCTGGCTTACATATGGTATTATATCATATTACTTTTAGGTATTTTGTACTTTGCTAGAACCCTTCCTTTACAATCATTTGGATAGTGTTGGACTACTAAAGTACCTGATGGATTACAACACCCATAAACACTAGAACTCATGACTATGACTACAAATGACTATGAATAACTGACTACAACTTCCATGAGCATTTGTATTTGACAAACATGTGAATGAGATGCATGCACGCGCAAAGACTGGGCCATTGACCAGCTAAGCCAGAACCAGACCACCTTAGACCAGCATGAAATCCCATGTTTCTCTGCATCAGGACATAACAAATTAATCCACCACAAACTGAGATGATTTTTTTATTGATTTTCACACTCTAGCTAACCAAGATGACACATTCAGCATTCGCTTACAAAAACAGCCCAGGATCTGCTTCCTAACGTAACCATCTTACATTTCATTACAAACAGAACTCAACAGAACCGTCTTTAATCACGTGGAACCGTTCTATGCATACAAACTTGCTCAGGCAGATTAAAGGTATCACGGAGCTTTAACTTCACATGTCCAAGTACATAAAATATCATATGGAAGGATTGTTTAGACTGGAATGTTTACTGATTACGGTACTGCCATACTTAATGAATGGGTATCATAGTTACACATAGTATCACATGATACGTTCATACAGTTTAACAATTTGGAATCACTAATTGTAAATGAACAAAAATATTATAATATACACACTACTCAGAAAAAGTCTCCTTGAGGAGTACTTCAAGACGTTTTCACAATACACAATATTGATCATGATATTTAGTTTTTCTGATATTTAACAATTTAGAACAGACAAAACAGAACATGCACCATTTATAAAACATACTGTAATAATAATAATAATAATAACAATAATAAACGTACAACTGATTTCCATTCAATGTTTTACAAACGGAACTGCACTAAATCCTATTAAACAGCCCTAATTATCCCCATTTTGTAATGAAATGTATAGTTAATCAGTTTTCTTTAAGTACTGATTATATCCATCATACACTCAGAAAAGTGCATTGTGACATATTGTATCACGATAACAATAAAATATCATCATACTGCCCACCCCATAAATCAATCCTTCTTTAAACTGATACAGTTTTGCTGCTGATGGAATTGAACAATTCC